GCCCTTGCCCGTGCCGGGAGTGCGTAGAGTAGCTATGCCGATGCTCCAGTTGTCGGCGAGCACGGCGTTGCCCGATCGGATCCAGGCGACCGTGCCGGCGACGAGCAGCATGGCCATGGTGACGAGATGAAGCAGAAACATGCTCAGCGCCACGCTGCTCGAGTCGCGCATGCCCAGCAGACAGAGCAGCGCCAGACCGACGAGCAGCAGTGCCGAGACGAGGCGATAGTCGAGATGCGCGTGCGACGCGGCGGTCTCGCCGGCGATGTATGCGCTAGCGGTGCCGGCGCTGACGGCGCCCGTGGCGATGGCATCGAGCAGCGTCATGGCGGCCGCAAGTACGGCGACGAGCTTGGACGAGATGTTGGAGAGGTACGAGTAGTTGCCCGCGTTGCTCGCCGAGAGCGCCGAGGCGAGCTCGCATACGATCGGACGGAACGGGTAGAGCAAGAGGCACGCGACGAGCATCGAGATGGGCGAGAGCACCGACGACACGGCGACGACGGCGGGGAGCGCGTAGAAGACCGAACCCGTCACGGCGTTGCCCGCGATCGCCGACGCCTTCCACTGACCGAGCTGAACCGACTGCGGGGTCGAGGCGGCCGGTTCCGCTGCGGATTGCGAAGGAGGATCGCCAGGCAGCTCGAGAAGCGAGATGGAGCCCCATCCGGCAAACTCCCAAGCGCGATGGATGGCCATGAGCGGATGCTGTCGGTCTGTGGTAAGCGTGGTGGTGGGAGCATCGGGCTTGTGGTTACAGCCAGCCTTGAGTTCGCCACGACGAAGCGCGCCGGACCAGCCCGAGTCGGAGGTGAAGGGGTCATCCTGCTCCGACGTGGTGCGCGTGCGACGAGGGCCGGCGGGATTGTATGCTTCGAGATCAAAGGCAGGTGTGCCAGCGGCGGTGAGCAGATTGGCGGCGGGTGACACGACCCTGTTTTTGCGCTGACGACGGATGATGGTAGCGAACTGGGACTCTGCGAACGAGGGAGGTCGCAGGGAGGATGACGGCACGCGATTCACCGAGCCGACGTCGCGATGCGATTCGACGAGTGCGGGCAGCGGCGAATTGCCCTTGCCCGGACGGTGCCGGATGGGAGAGTCGGACGAGGAGATGGC